AAACCTGTTTATTTTTAAATGTTCTCTTCTGTTGCATAACACTTCTATATGTTCCTCCAAAGCCCCATATTCTTCTAATTACTCAAAATAGGTTTTAAGTCCGGTAGGGCATGGCCCTCTCATTTTTCAAAATGAGGGGTCCTATTTTAGCACCTTTATTTTTCCAGGTGAACTCTTGTAAAATTTCCCCAAACATTTTGTTGGTACTTTGATTGGCATTATGTTAAATTTATGCATTAATTGACATCTTTACAATATTAAATCTTCCCACTGCTCCACCAGCTGGAAGAATTTTGTCCTTCCTCTGAACTCCCTTAGCAATTTATACCTTTTTAAAAATCACTTTCTACACTATACCCACCCAATTTTTCAAACCTGAAACCTGAGAGGCATCTCCTCCCCTCCCTTCCCCAACCTTTACCCCATCCAATCAATCATCAAGGGCTGCCCATGTGACCTCCTAGATTCCATCCCCTTCTGCCTGTCCCCACTACTGGTGCTCTGGTCCAGGCTGCCATCATTTCTGGCTGAGGCCACCACACTGCCCTCCGACTGACCTCCTTGAATCCACCCTGGCTTCCAAGCCGTTCTCTACAATTCAGCCAGAATGATCTTTTAAGAGGCAAATCTGATCATGGCCCTCCCCAGCTTTAAAATATTCCAATAGCTCCCCATGGCTCTTGGGGTAGAGCCAGAGAAGCAGGTCTCAACCCTCCCTTCCAGCTTGAGGCCAACCATTCTTTAACTCATTCTTTCTGCCCTGTTCATAGTAGCCATCATATATATCCCATGTCCTTTCTTACCCCAGGGCCTTTGCACATTCCGTCTCTTGTGTTTGGACTGTTCTTAGCCTTCCCCATTATCTTAGTTTAAGAAGGTTCGATTTCCCAAGTGTATATTCCCAGCATCCTATACAACTCCTTTTTAGTACTCATCACATTTGTAACTACTTGTTCAAGTTTCTATGGTAATAACCCTGATAGTAAAAGTTTCCATGGTAGTAACCCTGATAGTAATCATAAGAATATTATTAATAATAAATGCTTTTGAATAGTGAGATATAGTCACTCTCTGTCCCAAGTGCTTCCATGAAAGGGTGCTCTAGACCTGGCTTCTGCCAGTTCGTGACAGCAGGTTGTTAAAATTTCAGAAATTTGTGAGCCAGCTGACGTCATACTGGTAGCTTAAAATCAGCCATAGTCAGAGAATTTGCACCATGGAAATCAGCAAATACTACCAACCCTACTGCTCCCTCCCCACCACTTTTCCCTGGAGAGCCAAACACCAGTATTTGCATGCACAGTATTATTTAGTCTCACAACAGCTCTGTGAGATAAGTATCCCATTTTATAGATGGGGAGACTCAGAAGTTAAGTCACTTACACAAGATTTAAGAACTAGAGACATCCAAAAAGCCAAAACCTAGAGCATAAGTAGTTCATCTTCACATCACTATACCATAGTGAAGGAAGGAGCCTGCTGGTCTGACTCATCTACAGTCTTCCCAGCACACAGCACAGTGTTGAGCATAGTGAGTGTGCTCAATCAATATTTGCTTCATGAATAAGTCGATAAAATTTCAGCACATCAGGAAAACAGAGCTATTTGCTGACAATAAGTATTAAATAAAAGACACTAGGCAGGATGGCCAAAGACCTGAGTCCTTGCTCTGACTCCACCTTGAATTCAATGGGTACTTGTGAAAAAGTTGCTTCTGCCTGGGGCTTAGTTCTCCCATCTGCAAAAGAGGGAGTTTGACCAGTGATCTGCAATGTCTCACCATTTCTATAATTCTTTGAATTTACAAGTAGCATAATATCTACTATTTTCATGGTTATGTGGGCTCCCCTCTCAGCAGACACTTTGTTTCCACAAACTGTGGCTCATGGCCTCCTCTATTCTGTCTGGTAAATTCCCACTTTGCTTTAGAAATGTCACTCTATTGTCACCTCCTCTGGAAAGCCTTCACAGATTCCCTAAAGTCAGCCACTCCCTGCTCAGTGCCCCTTGCATTTATACCTCTCACGGGACTTAACCCAATTATCATAATCTCCAGATAGCTATCTCCCCTTCTAGAACTGTAAGCTGCTAGAGGCATACTAAAAATTACTGATTTTGTGTCTTGAGCATAATTTAGAACTGATGTTTGTTCAATGAATATATCAAGTACACTGATACCTGGGTCCTGCCCTCCGAGATTCAGAGCTACTTTGTCTGGGGCCCAGGTGTTGGTGATTTAAAGTGCAGCCAAGGGTGAGGACCTCTGCTTCAGAGAGAGTTTTCACCTGCATACACACATGGGCATGCACACGACGTCAGGCTCCACACGTCCACAGTCTCACTGAGTATCCTTACTTCAGAAGAGAGCTGAGGGTTGGTTGCAACATGATTGCTATTTTTCCTACCTGTCTCCTCACAGGCCAGATGGTCATCCATACACAGTGGGTAGAGAAAACAGAGATGCCAGAGCCCTACATGTGGAAAGCATCCCAAAGTGAGACCCATTCCTAGCCTAACTTCGGGGACAGCCCACACTGCTGCTTTCCCCCTGCACCATCAGACACTCCTTCTCAGTCACCTTCATAGGTGACTCCTCTTTTCACCCTGAGCCTTACATGCTGGTGCTCCTGAGGCACCATCTGGAGACTTCTTCCATCCTGTAGCTGCACTCTCTTCTGAGGCCATCTCATCCAGCCCTGTGGCTTTAAGTGCTGTCTGGATGCTGACTGCTCCCTTGTTCAACATCCTCAGCGCCTTCCCATCCAAGCCTCTTACCCTACCCGCTCGTCCTACCTCATCCCCCATCCACCAGTGCCACTCCGGCCAGAGGTATTTGTGCTCTTCCCTGATGATGCTGGGCTTATCCCCACCTCTCAGTCTATAATCTGTTCTCTGCCTGGGACATTTACCCCCAGTTCACAGCCAGCCAGACACTGTTCTAGAGAACACTGGGGAACCAAACAGAAACACAACCCTGAAGAGTTCCAGGCACAGAAGGAAGACAACGGAGAGGAGAGAAGGTCAGAAAGATACGGAGGCTGGGGGCCGATTTGCACACCTGTGATACGGGTCTCCACCCAACGTCCCTTCCTCACGGAGTCCCTCCCTGACCACCCCCCCCAAAACCCTGCCTCATTCTCTATCCCTTACTTATTACTGTTGAAATTGTATCATCTATTTTCTGTGTTGTCTGTCTTCCCCTCTAGAAAGTAAGTTTTATTACGACGAGGGATTTTAACTTGCCCATTTCTATATCCCAGAGCCTAGAGTTGTGCCAGCCCGTGGTACTAGGCATGTCATAAATACTCATTTAAATGAATGAATATACTGTATGCCTTTGGGAGCTAAAGCGGTAAATATTTTACCGTGACTGTAATAGCATCTTCCATAGAAACACACACACACACTAACCCAACCAACCAAGATGTACCTATCTCGAGAGAGAAAATTCAAAGGTGAAATTTTAGATAAATATACCTAAAAATTACCCTTGTCCATCTACTCCTCAGTGATATGTAACCAGATATTTACACAGAAACAAGAAGGGGAGTCTGGAACCAAATGAGAGAAGACACTATAAAATATTAGAATTTCATAATGGGTGTGATATATTTTCTAAGTGTATATATTTCTTTCTCTATGCCCCTTATTTTCTCCTTCAAAGTACAATGTCCTAGTTGATCTTCCTGCCTTCAGTTGTTCCCCTGACTAACTCAATCTTTTATATCAATAGCATTTGTGTTTCTTCCGAGAACCCCTTTGAGTTACTCTCACTTCCATGGGAACGCTTAATGTCGTCTTACAAATCAAGTCTAAATTCCCATACAAGGCTTTGTGAGGTTTTTTTTTTTCATTTTTTAAAATTGTGGTAAAACACACATGACAAAATTTACCACCCAAAGTCATTTCTAAGTGTAGCAACCGATCTCTAGAACTCTCATCTCACAAAACTGAAACTCTGTTCCCATTAAACATCACTCCCATTCTCCCTCCCCCCAACACCTGAGAACCAGCATTTGATGTTCTGTCTCTGAATTTGATCATTCTAGGTACCCTACAGGGCTTTTAAGCTGTTTTATGTTTTCCTTCCTTCCCATTCCTAGCTCATGTGGGCTAAGTTCCGGCCTAAGTTTTACCCGAGTGCACTGCCATAGCTGTAAACCAGCCGTCTCTCCTCCAGACACCTGCTCACCTTACCCACTGGGCCCTAGCACATGAAATTCCCATAGTTGGGACATTCTTCCTTCTTCCCTGCCTGTTCAAATCCTCCCCACCCTTAAAAATAGTCTTTGATTTCCATCTTCTTCTTGAAACCCCTTCCCTCTACACTAGTCCACACTAAACTGTGTCTTCCTGGAATTCGTATTCCATTCACTGGAAACACCAAACATTTTGAATATTTTAATTCCCCAGCTGTTCTGTGCAATATACCAACGCCCCCTCCAAAAATGTCTACATTTCCAAATAGGGACCATGTCTCATATGTCATTGTACCTTAGAAAAAGTAGATATTCAACCAATTTTAAACAAATGTTTTTAAACAAATATTCAGCAAATTTCAACAAGCATTGAAATCATAGATAATTCCTACTTTCATAAAATTTTAAAACAATTTGAATCACTCTGCAGCACCGTTGGGCAATTTTTACAAATCCTTTTCAAGAAAATTTAGCTATAGCCAACCACTTGGCCTAATTTTTTATCTGATTGCTTAGTTAAAAGTCTGTTCTAGCACGGTTCTAGCCAAGTCAAATTTATAAAGATGGCACTCATGAAATGAGCTCCTGTGATCATCTCCCAGACTGTTCAGAAATCGCTTGCATAAAATAAAATTTAAAATCGAGTCCACACTTCCCCAATCAATGCCTATCACCCCGTCCATTCTCCCCACACTAGTAAAAAGACCTAGGAAAGGTAAAATCACTATAAAGTGGAGACACTGGGAACTAGAACAAAGGTGAACCCGGAGCCCATCTCCCCTGGATCATTTTCTCACCCACCTGTGTAAATGAACCTCCCTGGAGCTCCCTTGCAGAACTGTTTGGACTTATAAGATAATGTCACTTCCACTACTCCGGGGATGTGCCGAGGAGGAGTCTGCACTCTGATGGCATGAGGCGTTATTAGCTGAGGAATGAACAGGCAGAGAAACAAAATACCTGTTATACAAGTTATCACTGAGGCTACAGAGGACCGGAGCATGTCCTGCAACGACCCGCCAGGGCCCCAAACTCTCCAAACACCCTGTCCCTCTATCTCACATGTTTCTCCCTCCTACCCTGGGATTTCCTCACAACTTAACCTGTCTAGATCCTCACCTTCCCACCAGCCCAGCTCAAGATTCCCCCTACCTCCGGGGCCCATCTTTGTATTCACTCCCTTCCTGCTTGCTACACTGCTACTCTCTCATGTAGTGACTTGGCAATTTCCACATCCAACCTAGCACCGTCGCTTGTCTTTTTGTAACATCTTGTTGGTTTTCTCATTATGAAAGTAGAACATATCCACTTTAGAAAATTAGGAAATTATAAAAAAATATGAAGAAAACTATTCGCCTTGTGTAACCCAGAGACGGCCACTGTTAATCTTTGGTGTGCTTCCAGAACTTTTCTATGGATGGCTGTTATATTATTAGATTTTATATCCATAGACACCATTATCCTGATTTTTTTTTCACTTGACATTATAGTGTAAATACAATCCTTTCTCCTGTGCCATTAGAACTTTTTCAAAACCAAATTTTTAAGAGTGGAATTGAACCATTCTATTGTTCAATATTTAGGCTCTTTCTAATTTTTCACAATTATAAACAATGTTGCGATAAATATTTATCTTTTTAAGGGATCCATGCCTACAATAAATTGTGGTTTACATGTTTTTTAATTCTTGGTGCCTTGCTCACAGTAGGTAATCAGTAATGTGCATCCATGCTGCTGATGCTCCAGGAATTACATTTCCCCAAATCAAAACTATCTTTGCACCAAAGAAAATCAGGGAAGCAAGTTGCCTTTGCCTACCTCACTCCATACAAGCATGGTCCCAAACACCACTTGGAGGCCATCAAAGAAGTTGTCTCCAATGATGATGACCATGGCTCCTCCTGTGGTCCAGCCTTCACTTGGGCTAATGGCTTTGATGCAGGGGGTAGCTAAGAAGATAGAAAAGAAAATGTCAGGGCTATCATTTGATGGTTGAAATTTGGAGTTTGGGGGATTGGCTGCTCTCAAAAGCTGTTGGCTATTCCAGGTTCAAGTTGAGCTTTGCTGACTTGCCATCATTCCCTAATTGGTTGCTGGTTTTCACCAGGTCATTAAAGCCTAATGAGTTGACCACTATGTATGAAAACATGGAACACTTAGCTAATTGTGCAAAGGGTGGTTTTAAAACCCTGTTGTTTTTCCCCATATTTTTATAAGTTGATCACACTGGAAATGTGTAAATCCCTTTTCTCTCCCCACCTCCTCTGCCCCAAGATGTTAAGATTTACAAGGCCTGCTAATGTGCTAGAGAGAGAAGGAGAAAGTAAAATCTATCATAGTTGGGTTTTTTTTTTTTCAGCTCTATCAGGAGACAATTTCTAATCACTTTCCTAACTTTGTAGGATGGATTCCGCCCCCCTTCTTCCATATGTCCAAGGCCTCTGGACTTTACATCCCAACAGGAACCCAATATGGTTTTCAGGCCATAACTAAAGTCAATCCATCACTCCATTTCCAAAGTTGACAGGGTCAAAGGTGGAGGAGAACTTTGGCAGGACTCCAAAAACATGAGCCCCCTTTGAACAGCCAGTCAATCACATCCAATCAGTCAAAAGAAACTGGATGGGTTCCTAGTTCTGAACCCTGGGATTTTCTTCTCCCCTTTCAGTGCCCACTGTGGGAGAATTAACACCACTCCAAATTCTTTACTGATTCAATCATTTTCTTTCAGTTCATTAATTCCTATTTAAATTGATACAAGACACATTTTAAGGGCCAAGCTGGGGTGGGGGCTGGTGGGCAGTATACAGCAAAACATCACACTAAAATAGTAGCTTAGGTTAGCCATTCACCTTATATTACAAAGCACCTTACTATCCCAGTGAGCTGGGGAGTGTGAAAGATGGAATTTACTCAGGTATTTGTCAGTTATCTTCCTTGATATGCTGTAATTTTTTGGACAACTTGAAGCTGAACAGTTACCAGTATTTCTGACGACTTTAATGCACATGGAAAACTACCCAGAGCAGATCATGATTTCTTCTTGTCCAAGCAAACAAAAATCAATTAGTGTCAATTTCATTCTGCACATTGTTTTGTTTTGCCCACAATCTGTTTAAGGGCACATCTGACACTTATTCATACATGTCTGCACTGTAATGTTCCTGTTTAACTAAGATGTCATAGGCTTACGTTTGCCTCAAATGCCCACCTAGCAAAAAGAAAAACACAGGACTAGATGGCAGAGGCGGTGGGGCACGGTGGCCTGAGTGCCGACTGGGAGGCGTGCGGGGTTGCAAGAGAACAGGCAAGAGTCAGTGTTTACAACTTCACTTAAAACCCACATGATCTTGTGTACTTTCTCCACGCCTGCCCAGACATAAATTTAAAATTCAAACCAGGACAATGGCGGGGACCTTGATTTGTCTGCCGTTCTCAGCCCAGACGGCAGGCAACCCTACCTTCTGATGGGTCCAGCCTTCTTGCTCTCCGGCCATGCTTAGAGTTGTTATGAACAAACATGTTGTCAGAAACAGCCAGCACGTGTCCATCCACGTTCACTGTTGTTGACAACACAACCTGCACATTTAAAGCAAAAGTTGGGGGGGGGGGTGAGGGGGGAGTTAGTTGTACATGAAGTAGGAAAAGTCGCAGCCTACTGTTTTGCCAGACATCCCTATGGCTAATGAGAGATGGAACAGAATCTTGGGCCAGGGCCATGCCCTCGGCCTCTCAGCAGGTCATCCTCCTGTGATTATGGCAGAGCTTCCTGGAAAAAGAGGCCACCCTTCACTCGCATGTTGTTATGTATTTGTGTTCAAACCACGCCCCAGTGACAGAGTGGGGAAACTGGCCATCGGCCTGCTGGTTCTAAAAACCTTGCTCTCTCCCACAGGACCTGGACAGTCACTCCCAGCTGACCCCAGAGCTATGCTCATGCCAAGGAGCCAACTGTGTGAGCTCAGGAAGGTAAGGCCTCAACACCAGCTGGGAAGTCATCTCTCCCAGCTCAGGAATGGGTTCTCACACTTCTAACGTCTGCTCAAGGAATGCTGGGCACAAAAATGCTGCCTGAGGGGCTGTTTGTGGGGTGTCCCCACCCGCTAGAGAGCCGTGGCAGACATGATCCGATTTCTGGCGAGGAGATGAAGTTGCTGGAATTCAGTGTTGAAAATGTAGGACATTTAGTATCTAGGCAGAGGAAAGGGAAGAGATGGGTGTGGAACAGTGGAAGATCATGGATTGGGGGTCAAAGAGAACGAAGACCCCCACACCCGCTGTTCCGCACCCTGGTAACCTGGGACAAATTACCTCACCTTTTCTAATCTCCATTTTGCTCATCTGTAAAACACAAACAACAATGCCTATCTCAAGGGCTCAATAAATAAAGTAAGGATGAAATGAGGTATTACACGTAAAGCTCTTAGGTGGAGGGCCTGGCGCATGTGACAGGGGGATGAGTTCCACCCTAACTGCCTCACCTCTGCCTTGTTTGGCCTGTCACTAGGATGGGTGACATTACTCACTGAGCCCCTCCCTTAGTGTAAGCTCTAAGGGAGACTCTAGAAAGGCAGACACACGGGCTGGCTACCAAAAGTTACAAAGTTGGGCCCCTACCCTCAAAGAGCTCTCTTAAGGGCTGGAGAAACATGGCTGACACATAAAAGAAAGAGCACACAAAATGAAATCAAGTTGAGTTCGATGTGTGTGCTGTAGTTCCAAGAGGCAGATGTCAGTGAAGGCCAGAGCAGTTGGGAAAGCGTAGCAGAGGTAGGTGGACTTGAGTGCACCTACCACCTACCTGACCTAAGAGGATGGGCCATCCTAGACGTGAGTCTATTTGTCAGTTATGTATGCAATTTTTTTTGAGAAAATAACTTGTTATACACATATTCGTGCATATATATAGACCTCTGGAGGAAAGGCATTGATAGGTACGTAATGAGGAGCTGTATTTAAAAATGACTCTTCTATCTACTCCCAAATTAAAATTGCTGATATTCTTTTTTTCTTTAAATTTTTTTATTGTTATGTTAATCATCATACATTACATCATTAGTTTTTGATGTAGTGTTCCATGATTCATTGTTTGCATATAACACCCAGTGCTCCATGCAGTACGTGCCCTCTTTAATACCCATCACCAGGCTAACCCATCCCCCACTCCCCCTCCCCTCTAGAACCCTCAGTTTTTCAGAGTCCATCGTCTCTCATGGTTCGTCTCCCCGATTTACCCTCCAATTTACCCCCCTTCATTCTTCCCCTCCTGCTATCTTCTTTTTTTTTTTCCTTAACATATATTGCATTATTTGTTTCAGAAGTACAGATCTGTGATCTCACTGATATGAGGAATTCTTAATCTCAGGAAACAAACTGAGGGTTGCTGGAATGGTGGGTGGTGGGAGGGATGGGGTGGCTGGGTGATAGACATTGGGGAGGGTATGTGCTACGGTGAGCGCTGTGAATTGTGTAAGACTGTTGAATTTGCTGATATTCTACTTACATTTTTTCTGCCACCCTTCCTTCCTTATTAAATGAAGGGAGCGGGGGACCTTGGCCCTGCCTTATCTCTAATGTGAAGTAAGATTCACTAGATGGCATTTAAAATTTTCTACTATGAATAATTTCAAGCAAACAAAGTGAACAAGATAGTATGATAAATCCTTCCTTTTTTTTAGGTGAAGTTTATATCCATTGAAATGCACAAATCTTAGCTGCACAGTTTTGACAGATACATCCAGGTAACACAGACCATATCGGGGTATAGAACATTTCCATCTCCCCAGAAAATTACCTTGTATCTTTCTCGGTCAATCCTCCCCTCCTACCTAACCCCCACCCCAAGGAAACCCTTCTGAATTTTTTTTTACTTTCAATGTAGGTTTAGATGGTAGCTTTTAATTTTTCTTAAATACATATATTTTAATATAATAGGGGTTCAGGATAACCCCTAAAAGCATGAGTCCCCAAGATATTTCACCTAACCTAGTCCCATGGGCATGACAGTACCACACAGGAATTTTCCATGGACATTAGTGGGTTTCAATCATTCATCCCAAAAACATTCACTGAGCTCCTGCTACATGTTGGGTATTAAATCAGGCCCTGGAGATTCAAAGACAACAGAATGGGTTCCTAGTCAGCTATGTGTCTCCCCCACACTTCAGTTCCTCACTTGTGAATACACTACAGGTACAGTGTCCCCGCCTCTCTGTGACATCAAAAGGAACTTAAAGGAACCTCAGTTGTCGTTCAGAAAATGATTGTCAATAGCTCATAATTCAAGGATGCAGCCTGTCTAGCTCCGGATCTGTTTTCAATTGCCCCATGTCAACATGTTAGGAGTCTGGGGAAAATCCTTCCAGAAATTTCCTATTGTATGGTGGCCACCGTAAGATGTAGACATCCATTGCTCTCCACAAGTGCATGGAGGCACAAGTCCTTATCAGGGCAAGCACAAGATGGCATCATAGTCAAAGGAAGAGAGAAGCCAAGGATCCTGGCATGGGGTTAAGATGATCATGAAGGGGGCGCCTGGGTGGCTCAGTCATTAAGCGTCTGCCTTCAACTCAGGTCATGATCCCAGGGTCCTGGGACCGAGCCCCACATCGGGGCTCCCTGCTCGGCGGGAAGCCTGCTTCTCCCTCTCCCACTCCCCCTGCTTGTGTTCCCTCTCTCACTGTGTCTCTCTCTGTCAAATAAATAACTAAAATCTTAAAAAAAAAAAAAAAAAGATGAGCATGAAAGTTGAAAGCATTCACCTCTGCATATGCTTACCCCCTGAAAATAATAGGAGAAAGTGGAGAAGAAAGAGGAATCAGGCCACTTTTATAAATTGTGTGTGTGAATGGATTGACATAGCTGCCATCTCTGGAAAACTTAAAACAAGAGGGTGCTTCAGGCTTTAATTGCTAATGAGCTGTGCTAGGCACAGTGAGGGGAGCTCCAGCCCGTCTGAGGATTATGTGGATATAGAGAGCATTCTCTCTGAGACTACTTTAATTCATTCCACAAGCTTCTTGTCATACTGTACTTTAGTGCTCCTCATGCATTCCTGCCACAAAATATGAGGCTTTCTCGAGCCAGCTGATTTCATCATTGTCCATTTGGGTGGAGTGAGATTCAGTTCCAAAGTGAACATTTCCCGAATGACATACCCTGATGGTTCAGATGCACTTCATTATTTTCTATTAACAATGGAAATAAATTTTAATCTCTTGCTGGCTAGCTCTGGCCTCTCATGACAGCAAGGGAATTAACCTGAATTATTTCAGTGTCTGCAAAATTTATTACAAGATTTTAAATTATGTCCAAATGTATGTGCGTGTGTGTATATATATATAGATACAAGGCAAGTTCCCATTTTTAATATTCCAAATATCTTAGACTGTGGGTTATCTAGAAGAGTCTGTCAATTAAAGTGAATTGGCAAAATGTAGAGTATTTAATCCTCTAGCTCCACCATGCAAAACCGGACATGTTTGCTGGTTGTTCTTATACATGCACGCGCACACACGCACACACACACACACACACAAATATTGACCTTTACATACATCCACCCTCCTTCTGGAAGTAAGTGAACCACATTATGGAGGTGAAGATACATTTGGTACATTCAAAGCTTTGAATTTAACTTCCTTCCCTGTTTTCTGATGAACGATGACAACACTGATATTATTCTATTCAGACAAGTTAAAGTTTCTGAATGTTTAGGGACTAAAGGAAGTGGAATGTGCATTCCAGCATCGTCTCACTCCCAGGCCTTCCCTTTCCACAAGCCAACTTCTTTCCCCTAGTGAGTATTTCCTGGGTCACGAAGGCTGACCTTTTCCATCTGGAATCAATCAGTCAACCCCTGACAACTTCCTGAAACACCTCACTCCATTTCCTGTTCTCCCCCCTTCTCTCTTTTCCCCTGGTTTGCTTCACTCTTCAAAACTGCAGGCCACAGCAGCTTAATGTTAGAGGGTCAGACACAGTTAGACTCCAAAACACTACACAAGGACACCTTTGACCTTCAAAAATCTTTACATCTTAGCTAAACAAATCAAGGTCAACATTTCTTACCATTACCTTGTTAACTATTTGTATGCATCTTTGCCAACGATCTTCTGATCATATAACCATCAATACCACTTGTTCTCCTGAGCTCATAAACTGATCTGTTTTCAAAGTAGCAAATTTAGTCTTGATAAAGGGTGTCATTTTGGAGGTAGCCGAAACTAGAAGTCACGGGCCTTATAACAAACATATGGAGAATATTGCCGACAAAGGAACTTCTACGTCTCATCAGCGTCTCCTATCACCTAAACCTGATACCTGGTCTTTCCTAAAGCTGTCAGGCTCTCTTGGCACTGCCATTCTGCTGGCACGGCCCGAAAGAATGCCAATTAGGAATACAGATGTCCATAATTTGTGTGGGACGGACCCCCAGTTTTTGCTGCTGACACTGTGACAGCTTTCATTTGTTTCTCATAGTTGGTGTATCTGTATTTTAGCTCAAAACTCCAAAGGAGAGCCTGCAGATCAGAAACCCAAGCCACTGTAGATTATAGCTCTCCTCGACTGAGACATTT